GATTGTCCCAAAGAAGTTATTGCATTGTCAGGTACCTATTTTTAAAAAACTATTTCAAATATTGCAGAAAAATATTATATCTGTTTAATAAAAGTATTAGTTGTAAAACATCTTGTTTTATTTTTTTATATATATTATACCTAATTTGTCTACATTTTACCACAGTTATCCTTGTATTATATGAATAATGTTTGATACTGATGCAGTTCGTTCAGTGTACATCTATTCAAAAGTGTAACTTCTCTCAGTGTAAACGATTGTGTTTCTGTCAAATCGGTCGACTCTAGCGTGACCACAAAACATCAAAGGAACCGCCGATTCTGTCGCTTCTCGTTGGTATAGTGTTCTCTGTTTTTAGCCTTGGGTTCTTGGGTTGTCTAATGACATTGCAACATTTCTGAAGTGGGTTAGGTCAAAAATATGTATTTATTTACAAAACAGAACAGTGAATTTTTATTTTGATTTGATTAATTTTCAAAGCTGATTTGGATTTATGATAGGTAGCTGTACTGTGTTAATTTTGGATTTATAATAGTGGCATTTCATTTTATATTTTCTGACTGTTCCTCTTGAAATGTCGTTCATTTCATTTCTAATACACAAAAATGTTATTTACATTTACAGATGTTTGCGAATGATAAATATGTTGACAAAATTGCACAAAATGGATAATACGCATTGCGCAGGCTTCAAATTGAAATTTTTTGAGAATCAACAAATTATTCTAACGGACAGAAACCGATTCACAATGTTTAAATTTAATTCTTTGAGTAGGTACCAAACTTTTACATAGTTCCCGATTCTGTTGACAAGCTTATAGTGTAATAGTAGACAACTCTCTTCTTTATTTATAAATATCAGTGTGATAATTTCTAAGCAAGGGCGATAAGGCAAAACTATAATTATGAGATTAACTTGATGAAAGGTGCAAGGGGTTCCTTTAATTAAAAAAGGCAATAAAATATGACATAAATAAATAATTACTAACATCATACCCACTAGTTTTTTTTTACTATTAAGAGAAGCAACTATTTATTAAATTTACCGTGAGTTTTACAAAATAGCAACTGGCAACCCTGGGTAGGATTTTCGTGATAACTTATAAAACCAATGGTCCCATGGTTGAAATTGACAGAGAACAGATACCTACATATATTTATTTACAATTGTACTTAGAACGCCACGTGAATCAAAGCGATAAAAGGAACATAAGTTTGTTAAAACTTCACAAAAAACAAGTAAGTACAATTAATCTATGCATCTATTTTTATAATTAAGTCACATTTAATAGTGATTATTAATTACTAAACATACAAATAAATAACGGTAAAAAAAACAAGGAACTGTTAGGTTATAATGGAATTACCATCTTACATATACATTTAATTAAAAAATACTCACCTTCATTCACCGTTTCTCTATTGTAGATAGGTATTCGGTTTCTTATCACATTTACACCTAGGTACTTTCTTAACTAATACTAGTAACAAATTTTCTTTAAAATCCTTTGAAATTGTTATTTGACATTACTTGTGCTGCCACATATCAGATGTTAGCGTCACTTACATATTACGTATGTATAAGTTCATATCGTAGATTTTTAAAACTTCGATTTTTGAGGAAATTTTGTCTGTAGAGTAGGGCACACAAATTTGATTTTTTCTATACTTTTTGGCAGTGCACTAAATAGATCAGACACAACTCTGTGTTCGGTAGTCAAGGTTCATTTCATAATAAGGTTAAATATTATTTTAAATTTCAAAGAAGACTAAATTGACCGTTATAGTAAATTATTTTAGTTTCTTTAAATTTTGAAGTCATATTTCAATTATTAGGTACCTAGGTATTATGAAATTGATTTTCAATATTGATCGGATAGATTTTTAAATTGTATGTTATGTCTAAAACTGGACCGAAATGTATATGAAAACATAGAAAATTGATTAAAGTAGGAAAGTTGTAGGCATTTAGGTTTGAGCATATTGCCAGTTGAAAATTAATTTCAAATTCGACCAGTAATAGCTAACCATTTTCAGAAAAGAGTGTGAGAATGTGAATGGAAATTAATAAATGTAAAAACAAATAAAAAGTAGGTAAAAAGAAACTTTTAATTATATTTTAAATTGTCCAATTTAATTTCTTTTTTGTTGAATACATTTGAGACATCTTCAAAACTATACAATGCAATCGAGTGATTACAAGAATTTTGTTCACGCAAAATGATATTAGCATGGCTGATCATTTCTCGTGATTGAAGAATAAATTCTTTGAAATACAATAAGGAAAATGTTATTTAGTAACAATTTTTGATATCATCAGTTAAGTGATAAAAATTTGTACTGTGTTGGTTATCTAATTAATACCAGTTCTCGACCAATGTAAAAATCTAACTTTTTGTATTTTATAATTTTGAATTTCTGAACTAAAAATTATTGAACTACGTTCAATTCTAAATAAAAGAGGTTACTAGTTACAAATCGATAAACTAAACTTTTTTCGAGATACAGACGTTTTAAGTTTTTGAGATACAGCAGGAATTAAATAGAAAATTAGCAGGTCTTAAGATACCAAGTCTGAATTAAGAATTAAGACAAACATTACAGCAATTGAAAATTTTATTATGCATATCTTAACAAATTATTAACCACCAGTGACTTCAATGCACTTTCTTAGCCTTTTATTTTTTTTGTCAAACGTTAAATAAAGTTCTATGTTGTTTGATAATATGAACTGATTCTTGAATATTTGACAGTAGTTCATGGCCATTAATAATGTTTCTATAAAATAAAGATTTAAGATTTCCCCAAAATTTGAAACAGGGCTACGTGCAGGCCAAGGTACTTCACTACCCCATCCAATCCAACAGTGCGGGAAATTTCTATTAAGATGTTCTCTTCTCTAAAAAATAACGACAAAGAAAAAACTTAATAATAAAATTGAGTAGAATTGGCAGAAACAATATGGTATTGTAGTGAGAGCTGTCAATTTATTATGTCAATGCCTACTACGTTGTAAAAATGAATTTTCTAATTTAATTCCCGTCGATTTGTAACAAGTATACCTTTTTTTATTTAGAATTGAAGGTAGGTAGTTCAATAATTTCTCGTTAAGAAAATTCAAAATTGTAAAATATCAAAAGTTAGACATATTTTTACATTGACAGGACAGTACAACTAGCGGCCCCTGGACGTGACTCCAACACTATTTGCATATTCGTATTTGCCACTTCAAAAAGCGTAAATCTACAAATTTTTAAAACAATTGGTCCATAGATACTTAAAATATAGCAAAATATTGAAATTTTTTCAACTTTAACACCCTGTAGAACAAAAAGGAGCAACAATTGATTAAGGCATATTTGGCTCAATATAATAATATAATAATCAATATAATAATATTTTGACGTTAACAATCTGCCATTGAGCTGTGTATCATTATTAATGACTCACCCTGTATATTATTTGCTTTTCAATTTCCCTGTTTCCAACTATTATTCCCGCCCTTAACAGATGTATTCATATGTTTGCTTGCTTTCAAATTGTCCAGTTCTGCAAACACCTGTAGTGTCTAGTATATTCTCTACTGTAGGAATACATTAAATAAATACTGTTCAAAATTTGGGGTGAATCTTGTGACAAAAAGTAAATATTGTATTATTCTTAAATAGGTTTGATTTTTATCATTAATGTCTAGTATTATCAAAATTAGGTACTTAGATTGAAACATGCACGTTTATATTATACCTACATATTGATAACTCTTTCTTAAAATAGCGAGATCGGGTAATGTGTTAGAAGTTGGTTGAAAATCGGGCAACCAACATCAAATTTTTTTCTTTTTATTTAATCTTCTACTTTATTTTAACTTACAATTTGGAAACTTAATTGTATTGTAAATTAATTATCTCGTCGCCGAACAGGTGTTGAAATAATAAAAATCACTTAAAAAAATGATATATTAATCAACAAGAGCAAGTTCACAATTACACGTTTAATTTCACACTGAATGGAATAAGCGAAGCAGTTCCTTATATAATAAAATAAAAGCATTCTCAGCAAAAGATAAAGTAGTTGACTTTTGTATCTAGTTATTACAGCAGAGAAGTTAATGATTCTGAAAAATAAAATATGAACAAAAATAATATATATTTATATTGTATAGGTATTTATATTGTATACATACACATAAATAGATGTATTAATAANAGAGCAAAACAAATCATTTGGCGACTGGCGACATATTATGGCTACTTGTCACTCATTCTGGGCGACTTATTGGCTACAAAATTGTAACCGCGGTCTTATAAATACATAAACTTTTCTTCTTATATGCGAAAAAAAGATAAAAGTCTGGTGACAAAATTAGTATTTTTCATTTTTTATATTGGCAGAGCAAATTTGTACGTCATTCGTCCTTCTCTTCCATTGCTTAGATTCTAGAATTCTACCAGGGAGGATTCTACAATATGTACTACAATTGTAAATTGTCATTGTCATTAGTCATTGGACCCATAATTCTCGTTTTATCATTGAAAGCTAAGGATTATGGTTTATATGTTTTGTGGTCAAAGCTGTCCTAACAATTATCAAATTAGTAAATTATTATTTTTTTCAAATATTTAAATAATTACGATCTCTTGGACTCCATATAGTATAGCTTTTTGTGTGATGTGGTTTTTACAATGGGCAAGGTACAAGATAAATCGTGTAACCGTGTGTTCGTGTAACCTGGTATACTGTAACACAGATCGTATCAAATTTAATATAATTTTGAATTTATGTAAATGAAAGTCGCGAACTACATATAAAGGACAATTTAAAAATTTGAAATATTGCAGCCAAAATGCTAATGTAGTGATATGTGATTCTAATCAAATTCTGATTTGTTTAAATTAGCGATTTAATTGCCTCGTTACTTGGTTTATTGTAACTATGAATTAAGCAACCCTTGTCCCTTAAATTTTTCTTCCGTCGTTTAAATTCTTCTTCTTCTCTAATTATTTTCAAAAGTTGGCGACATATGGCGACTTTGTTTCTCTATTAACTCACTAAAGACGGTATAGCCATATACCCAAACACACCTAAAGACCACAGACTATTGACAAAGACACTGACAGATAAAGGCGAGGAGTACCACACCTTCATCCTCAGCGAAGAAAAAACGCTGAGGGTGGTGATACGCGGAATACCTGCGGGTGTTTCGCCAAGTGAGGTCCAACTCGACCTCGCAAGACAAGGGTTCCCCGGCGCAATAGTGCACCGCATGGCGAGCCGTCAAAATAAACAGGAAATGCCCCTGGTCCTAGTTCAGGCCCCACAGGACCAGGAGGACATCCTGAAGGTAACCCGCTGCTGCTCGCTCGTGGTTCGAGTAGAGCTGCAGCGAAAGCAGCGGGTTGCCACACAGTGCCACCGGTGCCAGCGGTTCGGCCACGGCCAGACCCGGTGCACAGCTGAGCCAAAGTGCGTAAAATGTGGCGAAAACCACAGCACGCACGTATGCAAAAAGGCCAAAGACACGCCCGCCAGGTGTGCAAATTGCGCCGGGCCACACCCCGCCAGCTATATGGGGTGCCCTCAGTACCCCAAAGCTAAAAACACAAAAACACAAAACACAGACACACACACGACACAAAACACTACACAAACACACAGACAGCCCCTCCTACCCACCCCAAACACAACCCCAGGACGCACATACGCTGACATGACCAGAAAAACACAAAACACACAAAAACAAAAACACAACACCTCACCACACGCACACACAGACACGACACCCTCCCAACCGGGCGCGGCGGCCCTGATTGACGCAACAAAGCGTCTTCAGGACTTCTGCGTCCAGCTGACGACCATGGTGTCGAATATGCAAAAATTATTCGACTTCTAATGGCTCGTCGGCCCTCCCAACCCTCCTCGCTGAGAATTTCGTCCTGGAACCTTGACGGGTTCCGGGCCAAAAAAACGGAACTCGTGGACATCTTGAACCGTCTAAACATAGACGTTATGGCTGTCCAGGAGANCTTAGTTTTCACAAAGTCGTATTTCTATAACTACATAAATCTAAATCTAATACTACAGTTTTCCTCTATCACTCTTCATCTTCAAAGTCTTATTTTAAAATTGTTCCTTTTCACTTTCTTAAGTCTATTTCCTAACCTTATGTCTATCCACTATTTATATAAATTCGTTTCAAATCATACTTCCATATGTCAACTCATATATTATATCTAATAAAATTTTCTTTTCTAGATTCGTCCTCAATACTTTAAGTTAATAAATAAAATTAATCCCTACTATTGACTATATCTGTCTCTATAAATAATTTAATTTCTTCTTTAACTAAATTTATAATCAACCATCAAAATTCTTATTATCTTTATACTACATCCTAACTACATTCCAAAACATAACTCCCACCTGTTTGGTTCGTTTAAAATTTGTCTTATAAAAATTCTAGACAAACAAACACTGTATTCCATGTTTTGAAATGTCTCATTTTCCTATTTTTTTTTATTTTAGATAAGGATATAGTATTTC